ATCACAAACAAGAAATGACATCTAGTGATGTGAAGAATAATGGTGTGGAAGCCAAATTGTGCAAAGGGAAATTAAGAGGCACAGGGTGCCCTTACACCGACCATGATCGAAAGCTCGTTAGCAGAGGAGCGGAAACTAGGCCTTTTCGCCTGATGCACATTAAGGCAGACTGGAGACTAGGCCTCGCCAGCCACGCAACTAATGTATTCGGTCGTTCTAGAAATATTACAACATATAAATATATATGTACCCTGCAGTAATTGGGCGGACAATTCCAAATAAATAACCAGTTCTAAACTGGTTAAAATTGGACTGGTTAATATTTAACATTTCATTCAAACAACATAGACTACCCTTCGGTCAGTGGCACATATTCCACTGTCTTCATTTATTCTCTTCGCCTTCTTCTACACGAACCATAATTGCCATCAAGTTTAAATATTTATTTATTTTAAATAAAATTGTATTATATATTATTACTATGCTCATGATTCTTACGCTTAGACTACTTATTAACCCAATTAAATTAGAAGAATGTAAAAGATTTTTGTAATTTACTATCATTTAAGATTATATCGGTATTTTTTATCAATTATTATTGCGTATTTTTCATATGTAAAACATGGCAGCCCTTTTCCGCTGTCAACTCATTGTCACTCACGCTGTGTCAAGGCTGTCATCTCTTATTGTGTGTATAACAATTTGTTGGCGTCGTTTCATTCCGATCAGTGAAAATAAGTTTTCCTATTAATTTCTGTTAAAAAGGTATCCATTGAATACGATAATTTACAAAATCCAATCTTTTTCGGTCAATACAATGAGTAAAAGGAATTTCAAAAGAAAAGTTCGCAAAGAAGCGTTAAAATACAAATGCCAAGTTAACTCGCGTAATGAAAATGGAATTCAAAGAAATTGCGAGTTAATAGCAAATGAATTGAACGAAAACGAAATTACCTACGCTTTTTCAAACTTTCCTGAAATAAATACTGCTAAAAGGACTATGTGCGATAAGCTGAAGGACTGGTTTATTGAAACGAAGCCTTCCAGGAATAGTTTAGAGGACCTGCTAAAAATTTGGAAATCAGAAGGCTTGGATGTGCCTCTGTCTGCACAAGTTTTAATTGGAAAAAGTGAACGTGTTGTGTTAAAAGATGTATCTCCTGGCACATATTGTCATTTAGGAATTGCAAACGGGCTCCGAAAAATTTCCTCTGTCTTGGAAAACTACAATGAGTTATATGTGGACATCAATATAGACGGAATACCACTCTTTAGGAGCTCTCGAGTTCAGTTATGGCCTATTTTGTTAAAACTTGTGAATATAAAAGAAGTAGTCGATCCTTTCCCGGTGGGAATCTACCTAGGAAAAAGGAAACCAAATTGCTTAGACACGTTTTCTATGAATTTGTAAACGAATGGAAAAGTTTAGAAAACAATTTTTTTATTAATGAGAAGTTAATAAAACTACATATTCGTTGTTTGATATGCGACACGCCAGCCAAAGCTTTTGTTATGGGCGTTCCAGGACACACTTCCAAGAACGGGTGTACGAAATGAACACAAACAGCTAAGAAAATAGGCAATGTTCTCACTTACAGCCCTTCACGTGGTTCTTTAATTTCCGATGAAGATTTTTTTAACAGAAAATATGCTGATCATCATCAAAAAAAATTTTTGTCTAACAAAACACCGCTGGAGTCATTGAAACTGAATATGGTAACGCAAGTACCTTTAGACACAATGCACTTGATCGATCTGGGTGTCATGCGCAAAATACTAATTCGTTTGGTGAATAATAAAATTACGCGTAAAATTTCAAAAGAAAAGCTGTGCCATATATCCGAGAATCTGCTCCACATTGAACGCTTCATTCCGCCTGAGTTTGCCAGAAAGCCAAGAAGACTTTTTTTATGAATTTATGCTATTGCATTGCGCATATAGGCTACTAAACTGTCCCCGACAAATAAATGTAAATTTTCAGCAAGCTCACGATCTACTTCAGATATTTGTTACGAATTTCCCAATCGTTTTCGGAAGTGACAGCATTTCATTCAACGTCCGCAGCCTTATTCATTTAGTTAAATGTGTCGAAAAATACGCAGTTGCTTCCTGTTTTTCGGCGTACAGTTTTGAAAACAAATTGCAAATGATAAAAAAACAGGTTAAAAAGCCGAATAAGATTCTGGAGCAAATAATTAATAAAGAGAAGAACGCAAAATTAATAAGAACAGAAAACAACTAGTCCAAGTATTCTGGAGGATTTCTCGTGGGTGTTCATATAAGTAACGTTTTTTATTCGATTAATGAACCAAATAACATTTGCTCCGTGAAACCTAACATACCTATAAAAATAACTAGGTTCATTGATGGAGACAAGAAATTTATAAAAGGGCGTGCAGGAGTTTTTTTACAGAACCAGTCGAGTCCTGTACTTTGCGAATTTGCATGACAGATCTTGTAGTAGGAGAAGAAGAAATATTTCCTCTAGAAGCTCTGGAATACAAATTTCTGCTGTTACCATATAAATCTAAATTTATAATAATACCAATTCTCCACAGTTGGCAATAATTGCAATGTCAGCGCCACCAAAGAAAGCAAAGCGGCATGAATCCTCTAAACGTAAATATATATGTAGATATATATACATGTACATACGAATTTTATATACATAGGTATTCACCAAACTGAGCAAGTAGCCTGGGACTCTGGCAAAATAGCAGATTAGCTCAAGCAACAGTCGTTGCAACAGTAGTTGCTTGAGCTAATCTGCTCTTTTACCAGAGTGCCAGGCCACTTTCTCAATTTGGTGAATACCACTAATGCAACTATTATCACGTCATTGTGGAAGAATACAAGTGAGATATCTTAGGGTTGACAGATAGTTGACAGGGTGCTCAATATGGCGATGACAGTGTGAACAATATGGCAGCCAATATGGCATACAACACCGAATGGCCCGAAGTAGCAAAACTACGACCCGAATGAAACGCTTCGTGAAAATCCAGGGTTCCGAAGTGGTATTTTGTTGGAAAATATAAAAGCCAGGATTTTGTGCAGCGCCGAATTTTAACAAAAGAGGGTTTTGTGTTCTCAAGATGAACAGAAAAGGGTTGCTGTGCTGTTTCGTTTTAAGCTTATTTTAATCTTAAGGTATCTAATTAAATATTAAAAGGAGACAAAAATTAAAGCAAAAATTTAAAATATATGTACATATCTGAAAATTTTAAATAAAATATATATTTTCACGAGAGACAAATTAAATAAAATGGGTTAACTTTAGGGGAAATATACTTATCAGATTGGGTCAGATAGCGCTTTTACGTTATAATTAAAAATAATTCCTACTTAAATTTTATATAATTTTGGTGACGTATTTCTAAGCTGACCCTGAGATCTGTGAAATAATACATATTTATGTGCATATATTGTGCTGATTATGCTCTAAATCGCTAAATAATTCTTGCAGCAATCAGCACCATTGGGAAGTGAAGTGACAATAGGCTAGTTTTCTTTATACAGCCCGTTTTAAATTCTAATTATTGTTATAATAAATTACAATTATTGTTTGTTTCCGCTTTATTAAAAAAATGTCGTTTAAAAATAGCAGATTTTGTTTACTTTTGAATAAGACTTTTTCGAGTGCGCTATAAAGACAGGGGGATAAATGCTATAAAGAAATATATGTTGGTCCAATCGGGTTTTCGCTAATCCGGTTTTTGTGTAGGTATAAACAAGGTATATTAAAAAAATACCTCTCCATGGAAAAATATCGTTATTTTCGTATTTAAAATTAATCGGAATTATGGGGGGTTATAAAAACTCGTTTGAATCGAAACTTTGTTTTTTCGGCTATATTTGTTATTATTTATTGGCCCAGATGCAAATATTGAATGAACTAACATATTTTAAATATTTACGGAACTACCATTTGTATGCAACCCTGCCTATCCTGTATTCAAGTAGATGTAATTCGAAAAAATTTAAACGGATTTCTTCAAATCAACCTGAGCTGCGGACATATTGCGAATTCATTTTAAAACATTAACCACTACATTATATTAGTATTAAATACTTTCAATTAAGAAACAATTCTTATTAGAAAATAAATATGAATTGTTTTATTTTAAATATTCCAATGTATATTTTTTGTTAATGTAGATAGTGCGGATTTAACGTATTTTATAACCGTTACATGGGGAAAATAAATTTAAGGCAGACTGTTATTAACAATTTTTACACAATTTACGATTGCAATCAATTTCTTTCAAAACTATAATCTAAACGATTGCAAGTTGTATTTTTTACGATCAAAACAGATTCCAATATTAGGTATATTATGCAAATGCAATCCAATTTGATTTGAGTTATTCAGTTTTAGATACATTTATATTTCTGTGTTCGTATGGAATAGTAGTTTATGTCGGGAAGCTGGCTTTAGTATAATCCGGCATTCCCTTTATTATTTACAACACAAGGAATTTTTTGATGACCCTTAACAAGAATATGGACGAGTATCGGAACTATTTCTTGCACGTTTATTTATCCAAAATTTCTTCAACGGCTCGGCGCCAGTGAGGGTATGCTGCGAATGCCGCATTATACTAAAACCAGCCTTTTGACATAAGCTACTATTCCATACGAGTGGGGCACATGCGAAATGCGGATTTTCCCAGTTGCAGTACTGCAGTAACTCGACACCTTCCTCACCAACCGCTCTGTCCTCTATGAGCTTCTTAATGTAACTGCAAATAAAAGATGGAAATTTAAGAAAAAATACTATCACACCACACTCTTGTAGTATATTGGCTATCAAGCACCAGAAAATTTCCATCACGCATTCCATATGCCACCGATTGTCGTGGATCAATTAAAATACTGTCATCACAGCTTTTTGGTACTCCAGCAACTGGTGTGTCTATGGCGGAGTTATGTGGAGCTGTTGCATGACTAAAATCAATTTGGGCTCTTTGAGAACTGGCTTGTTTGTTGCGAGCAATTGGCATCAAATGTATGCAAATTAGATTTCCAAACGAGCAACTGTTGAATACAGGAAAAAATTTATATTATATGGTTCCGCTAAAGTGCACCACTACCGTGTATAAATTGGCCGACTTTCTAATAAATCAAGCAATCTTATTGTATCGTGTTCGCCGCCAGTCACCAAGAAATTTCCACTTGGGTAAATGCAACATCATTCTCCGACGACGAATGCACTGTATTAGCTCGCCTTCAGCTTTGTCAAATATCTTACTGCCATCCCTAAATTGGCGCGTCAAGCGCCAAGCAACTGTCAAAAATCCTCATGCCCATACAATTTGTATGAAGCATCCCACAATAACGCGGCGCTAACGCCGAGCAAATGGAATTTTAATTTTTGACAGGGCGTTACGTGCTGAAGTTGGATGCAGAAGACGAAGAGAAAGAGAACGGACAAAGAAGTGAAAAAGGAAACGAGAATAAAAACGAGAGGACATGAGAAAACGTCAAAATTGACGACGCGTTGATTTGGGTATAGCGCGCGATGACACTCGTTGACAATGGATAACGCAACGCTTAGCGCTCCAATTTAGGGACGGCAGTTAACGCGGTTACAACTTAAGTTCTGAACACATTGAAAACGACGAGCTACCGACCACAGCTTCCAATTTGTCATCTTTATTATCTAAGCGCTTTGTCGATGGCGACATGATTTCTTTGAACGCGGCAGCGACATCATGAATTTGATGAGTTTGACATAAAAGAAGAGGAAGAACCTTATCTGTCGCCAGAAAAATAGAAATAGATCTGATCTGGCCACAACCACAGCCGTCGCGTAGCCCGGTCGTCGCCAAAATAATTATCTACATAAGAGTACGTGTTAAAATAATTTGACAGCTGTGGTTTGTAGCTCGTCGTTTTCATTGTGTTCGGGCTATTAATGCTAAAGCCACCAGATTGCCGTCTGGATGCCATGCCAGCTGTCGTCCCATACCTCTTCCCCCGGTGAACGTTCGCATACATTCGCCTGAAAATGTATCGCAAATTCTTAACTTGTCGCCGCACGATGAAATTAACTTACCATTAGGGCTGAATTTTGCTGCGCGCACCCATTTGTGTGTCCAGTGAAAGATGTGTATTTTGAATCAGTATTTTGATAGCTGTTCGCCATTTTTCTAGTCTGCAAACGAATAAGCTGACGAAGAAGCAAACAAATTCAAGCACATTATTGCATTCTACCGTACTTTTTAAAAGCTTTAAAATCTTAAAGCATATGTGAAAACCTTTTATAATCTGAATATTTCTAATGTCGCAATCAAAACCAAATTTTATAAATAGCATTTTTAAAAAGTAATCATCTAATATTTTTCAAGTTTTTGGGCATATATGATGCCATTTGAACAACAAATACTAACAAGTTTTAAGAGACTATTTAATGCAACTCAGGTCAAAAAAGCGCAGTTTGGACCAAAATAAGCACCTATAAAAAACAGATGATCGCAGCTGTGGCCCAGGATGACGTCTATTGCTAAGATATCTCACTTGTATTTGTACACAATATATTACGTTCACTCTCTTTACTCCTTAGGTACATGTCATCTATGCGAGCAATTAAATGAAAAATGCGACAAACTTTACGAAAAATTAAGTGCGATGGAAGGTAATGATTAATTTTAACTAAGTATATTTTATATATTTAAAAAAAATATGTGCATACATATGTACATCTCCCACAGAAAAATCCAGACAGCAATCTGATAAGTTTAGCGATATTTTGGCTGAGCACAAAGTACTTCTCATGGAATTAACGCATCAAAATAAAGCATTGCAAACATTGAAAGGTATTTTCCCTATAAAATCAACAGAGGAGCTGAAAAATTTGGACGAACTATTGGAAATACAACCAGAAATATATTTAAGTAATTTAGAACAAGTCTTTTATTGCTATACACAAAGAAAAGAAAAAGAGTTTCCGTTAGCCAAAGGATTCATCTAAAGAAAATGCAGTTCCAAACATAAACGAAACAATATAAATACACCCATGCATGTACATATGTATGTAGTACAAACACTAGAAGTCGAACTTAGCCATAATGAATTTTCTTTTTTTAATCCAGTTTTTTTTTTGTTGAAGTTTTAAACACTTCTTACATTATATCTACAAAAAAAACTGGGCGCACTAAAACGTTATAAAACAAAAATGTATTTTTGCAATTCAAAGATGTTTTTGTATATGTACATAGTACATACATAGTTAGTTTTGTTTATTATACGTAAATTTGGGTTAAAAAAGCTGCGCTTGATTCTGTGCGACCACTTTTCTTGTGCCCATACTTTATGTAAATTCTTTGTAATCCTGTATACATTTGTACGTGCAGTGGCTCACAGTCGATATGAGCCTGTGATATTTTTTACAGTATTTACTACGTTTTTTTGCAAAGTCGTTTTCTTGAATTAAAGCAACTGGCTTACTTGACTGTGAGCCACTGTAAGTTAATGGATAAATTTTTTGCTACATGTACCTACAGTTAGGCAATAAAGTTTAGGTACAGAGAGTTTTTTGCAATACGGTCAACTGTTTTTTAAATATTTTTTTAGCTAAGTCTTTATACAAATATTATTAATACTACGACAAAAACCCCAAAAATCAGAATAATCATAAATTTGGTAATTTGGGACTCTGATTTTTGGGCTTTTTGTCATAGTATTAATAATATTTGTATAAAGACTTAACGAAAAGAATATTTAAAAACTCTCTGTACCTATACTTTTTGTGACAAACTAATTTCAGAAGTTCATAATTTGTTTAATCAAACGTGAACAAATGTCGAAAAATACCTCTGTATATATTTATATAGAAATGTATTGAAATTGTTTTTAGATTGAATGCATCTAAATTTTCTTTATAATTTTTTTTGCGCCTTGTGGGTTGCTAACTGTATTTAAAAAAAAAAATAGAGCTAAGTACCAATGTTCAATTCGAGTTGAAATAAAAAACAGCTAGTACATATGTATAATCTAAAAATATGTTCTTATTTGGACTAGATTAAAACAAGTCAATGTATGGCTAGACAGGAACTGGCCGAAATCGGACTAGATGGAAACAAGTCAATGTTTGATTAGACAGGAGCTGACCGGAAACGGCTAGACTGAAACGAGTCAATGTTTCGGTGGGCTGTAACTGACTGAAAGCAGACCATCCTCCGGTCAGTTTTTTTTTTTTTGACTAGTCCCTCTCCAATGACACGCTAAAGTTAAATGTGGCAGTTGAGAACATTGCTGGGGGATTTATGAGGGACTAGTCCTGGGTACACTAGGAACTATCTAAAGGATAGTTTAAGGCCAGTTCAAATTCCTGCAGGGTATGTATGTATGAATACTTCGTAAGAGATATAAAAATGCAAGTACCTAGTGAATTCACAAGACTGAAACAAAAATCAATAAGATAATTTAGCTTAAAATTAAAATTTATTATGTCATAGACAACTGGCTGTTAATTTTGAAATTTTATTTGTATATAAGAATAATTGTATTAGCCGTAGGCTATTTTTCAATAAATAAATTAATTAATTAATTCTAGAAAATTAAAGACTGCTTTTACACAATATAAGTATTGAACTAAATTCTGCTCGCTTGGCAAAGAGGGGGTGTGAAGAAAAGGGACGAGTACACATGCGCCTGTACCTTCAAGTCCTTTAACCTTTCGGCATACCTAAAGAATACGGACCCTTGAGCTAGAGAAACAAGAAAACGTGGAGGTGGTGCACCCCTTTATGCTGAGTTTAATGGTAATCTTTTTGTTGGTGCAATTGACAGGGGCGGCGATAGGGAGGCTAACCGTCGAAGTTTCAACATTTTAAAAAGGTTATATTTCAAAAACTATTAAACTGATAATATGAAATATGGACACAGTTGGAAAGGTAATTGAAAGACCTTTCATTCAATATATATATCTATGTATATAATGCGAACATATTTTGAGAAAAAGTAAAAAAAACGAAATTATGGCAATTTTTTTATAAAAATGTATGTTAGTATGTAGGTTTGTCGGAAAGCCCATAAAAATACCTTTAATTTGGCGTATAATTTTATATAGTCGTGTTTAAGTACAACTGCCAGCAGTGCAATTAAGCAACTGTATTAATGTTATGCAGCCTTTTAGCTGCATTTAAAATGCAACATTTAGCATTTTCTAACATACCGCCCTATTCCCACACCACTGACAAAACTCAGCGGCTGGCTATTGCCTTTACTACTGCGCCTAATACTATGCCGCAAATTTATTTTAAGCTGTCGTATGACAATTGTCAGTTTTATTGTTATGACCTACTGAGTAAGTGACAACGGCGAACCAATGTTTATATTGTGTTTTAGGCACAGTAATTGTGACAATAGTCATATGATGAATTTTGTCAGTGTTGTGGGTGTTGTGTTTTTCGAAGAGCGTTCATGCTATCGCATTTAGCAAATGTACATTTACGCGAGTTCGAAATCGTATACTTATGACGAACAGACGTGTTGCCGTCGCTTATTCAGATCCGTATCTATCCAAGAACGATAGAATACAAGATTGCGCATTCCCGTAGAATGACATTTGTGGCAACGGGTAAACAAAGAATATGGCGAAGAAGAATGAGTTGAGAGTTGTGAATTTGCAGTGAGAAAACGTATTTTCTTCTCAATTCACCAATTACTCAAGCCATCTTTGAATAAAGCAAATTAAGCACTACGTTAGCAAAAAATATACAACCACTCTTGAAATGTGTTCAAAAGAATAGGTCTTATTATTTAACTATTTACAATTTTTGTGTTTTTATTGCAGGTGCCGAAGAAGTGATAATATCTTGTCGCAGCGCATGTTTTCCTGCAGAAAGTGGTCGATGCTTGTGTTGGAAACTCCGCCACCATCAACACAGAATTAATCGACAGAGTAAACACCGTATAAACTTACCTTTGGTTTTCCTTTGTTGCTATTGGCAACCCTCGCTACTGTCAGTTTGTTGACATTAAAGGAAACGATTTTCGGCTTCATTACATCTAAGCTTAAAAGAAACCGGTTGGGAAAACCAAATGTAAGTATATTATACCCCAAAATGTATTTTAAATTTAACTATTGATTTATTAAATAAAGATTTAAAAGCCCCCCCTTTGGTGTAACGAATTCACACCGTGCTAAACAAATTGGTTGGACCGCCAACATTTCTTTTAAATATTTGCCGCATTTCTTGGAAACATCGAGTGTGTGTTCTGCAGCAGTGAACGTCGAAAAAATGTGATACAAATTTGGCGTGAGTTGCAAATAAGAACAGTTACTTTTGAAAAATGGGACGGACGAAAAAGAATGTGTTAAAGGACACGAGCGCGACGGCGAGTTGCAACATGTGTGAAAAGCCGGATAGTGGACCGGATGGTTCAGTGCGACGTGTGTGATGGATGGACGCATTTTACGTGCGCAGGTGTGTCGGAGGACATAGTTGAAAAGGCTTGGAGCTGTAGTAAATGCCTCAATGCATCAACAAGTACAACAAAGACTGTACCAGCCGCAACAACAACAGCTTATCAGGAAATTGGCATGCAGAATTATGCGAAAGAGGTACGTAACGAGATTGATGTAGCAAGTAGTTGTAGTTCGGGGAAATCGAAACGGTTCATGAAAATAAAACTGATGCGCCTTGAAGAAAAGAAAAAGGCTGAATTAGCGTATTTAGAACAGAAATTTGAAATTATGCACAGATATGAGAGTGCGGTGGAGTCGGACGACGAAGTTGGTGAAGAAGCATTAAAGTAAAGTAGAGCTGTGGAATGGGTAAGCGGCAAGTTCCAGGGCGATGTAGGTAGGGCTGAGGAACGGCAAGGTAATCTGGTTATAGGTCAGGAAGAAAGGGCGCGGATGCAGGCTCGCACAACAGCGGCGGTGAGTGTTGCCGGTTTGAGACCGGAGCAAATAAGCGCCCGACACGTGGTGCCAAAGGATCTGCCTATCTTTGGTGGCAAGCTAGAAGAATGGCCTTTATTTCTTAGCAGCTTTGAGAACTCAACGCGACTGTGTGGATTTAGCAACGACGAGAATCTGCTTAGGTTGCAGCGTGCTTTAAAGGGAAAAGCGCTTGAATATGTAAGCAGTAAGCTGATGATTCCGGCTCTTGTGCCGGAGATAATTTCTACTTTACGAATGGTGTTCGGCAGACCAGAGCAGATAATAAATAATTTGCTGGTTAAGCTACGTGCTTCTTCACCTGTCAATGTTAATAAGTTGGATACTTTGGTAACCTTTGCGCTCGGGATAAAAAATTTAACTGCGACTATGGAGGCATCAGGGCTTGAGTAGCACATGAATAATCCGCTACTAATACAGGAGCTTATCGAGAAGCTGCCTGCGCAGATGCGTCTTCAATGGGCATTGTTCTCCCGGTCATATGCGATAACTACCGTAAAAGTATTTAGCGAATGGCTTTTTGATTTAGCAGACGCGGCTAGCAACGTTGCATCGGTTACCACACTAGCTAATTCAGAAACAGAAAAGCGTAGGGTACACCGAGTGAGCTTCCATAACGAGGAACTAGAAGCTAGGACTGGGTCCACTGGGTCTGTAAAGCGAAAGTTGGCCTGTTATTTTTGTGAGGAGGCACATCTCATAATGAAGTGTGATAAATTCAAAAAGCTGGGCTACGACCAAAAATGGAAAGCAGTGCACGATTTGAAGCTGTGTAAGGTATGCCTGAAAAAGCATGACATAAAATCCTGCCGAGAGAACAGAGTGTGTGGTGTGAAAAATTGCGACCGAAGGCACAACCCGATGCTTCATAAACCCAAGGAAGCACCTGGTAACAACGCTGTTACAGCCATGGTGGACAAGAGACCTCTAATACGCTTTATCGTGTGGCTTCGATAACAATTTATGGAAACGGAATTTCAGTTGACGTGAACGCCTTTCTTGATGACGGGTCTGGTCCCACGCTAATAGAGAAGAGTGTGTTGCAGCTATTGCAGCTAAAAGGAAAAAATAAAGATTTATGCCTCAGATGGACCGATGGTACGATACGCGTCGAGAAGAATTCAGAGGTGATCGACTTAGAAATTTCTCCTCGTGGGAAGAACCAGAGGCTTGGGTTACATAACGTGCACTCTGTAGAGGCGCTTGATCTGCCTCAGCAAACATTAAATGTAGAGGAGCTCGCGGCCAAATATAGGCACTTACGTGGAATGCCCAAGGAATCGTACTGCGGTGTTATACCACAGGTCATTATTGGATTGATCAATAAGCACTTAGCGATTCCGTCGAAATTTCGAGAAGGCAAGGCATGTGAGCCTGCAGCTACCAAAACGCGCATCGGCTGGACGGTGTATGGCGTGGTTAATCGTGAAGAGCGTCAAAGCGATACCAATCTACAATTTCATATTTGTGAATGTGATGACGATGTAGCACTGCAAAAGATAGTTACAGAATGCATATATCAAGAGAAAGAATGCGATATCCGTGCATGCTAATTCAGCAGAGATCAGGAAGAAAATGCAACAGAAGATTGTACGCGACAAACAACATTTTGTAGTCAAACTACTGTGGAAAA